CTCCTCCTCCTCTAGAACCTTACGCTGTGCCTCTAGAGCCCTGCGTCGGGCTTCCTCCTCCTCTAGAACCTTACGCTGTGCCTCTAGAGCCCTGCGTCGGGCTTCCTCCTCCTCTAGAACCTTACGCTGTGCCTCTAGAGCCCTGCGTCGGGCTTCCTCCTCCTCTAGAATCTTACGTTGAGCCTCCTCTAGAGCCTTGAGTCGGGCCTCCTCCTCCTCTAGAGCTCTGCGTCGGGCTTCCTCCTCCTCTAGAACCTTACGTTGTGCCTCTAGAGCCTTGCGTCGGGCTTCCTCTAAAGCATTGAGCTGGGATCCCATTTGATTATGCCCATCTCTCTGATTTATGACCAAAATAGCTGTTTTCTTATGGTCACTAAATGTGTAGATTTGATCATACTCCTCTCTCTTCAGTATATCTTCTGATGTATTAATATTTTCTTGCAGTGAAGTATGATTGGGTAGGGTAAAATTTTCCTTTTCAAAGACAGCCATACTTGTCTGGGTCCGTCCGTAAAGGCTGGCGGATGCTTTGAACTCTCGATAGTTGCTCCAAATTATCCACAACTTCTTCTCCCACTTGTATATAAGTCGTTTTCGCATATGATTTTCGGCTAAATTCACTGCAAATATCATAGAATAATGAGCGCGCTCTCGTTCTACCCGCTTCAGCCTTTTGTTTTGAAAACTCTCAAATTCGTTAGCTATCACATTTGGTGAATTTGTGGCGGCAAGATTATTCACTTTACACTCTTGTAAGGCCTTACCCATATTATTTTTGTGGGAACAAGGAGACATAAGTGGGTGCTGGTCCGGAACATACTCCTGAACAGGGGTGTGTGATGCATTGGGCTCTGCTTCTGGAGCGACTTCTACAGTCTTAGCTAAGCTTACGTATCCCTTTGATAAAAAATGGGGTTCATCATGTGGTCGTGAAGGATAAAATGGCTTCACGGTGCAGGGTAAGCTTAACCTCGTCGTTTGGGAGAGTGGAGAATCATTGTCTCGTACACAGGTTTGTGGATGTAGAAGGAGCAATGGAGAAGAAACAAAGTCCAAAGAATTCTTCAGATTTGAAACCTCCTGCGGACCCACCGGATGCACTTTAGACCGCGAATTCGAGGTGTTAGGCATGCCTTGCCGATTATCTAAAAAATTTTCAGATGATGTTGTCATAAACAAAGTATGTTTCGCGGATTGCGATGCTCTATGTTTCTGGGTTGTTCCTGATCGAATTCCCTTAAGAAGCTGCTTTTGCTCCCTCACTTCTTCTGGCGTTATTTCTCGCGTCCCCCTATGGACCTCCCGTGTAGAACCCCCATCAAAAGTAACTGAATGAAGAGGTTTAGCATCATTCCCAACAGTTGCGTCAGTCTGCCACTGATTCACTACAGTGGATGTTATGCTTAGCGTGTTTTGGCTTTGCTTGCTTGGCTTAACAATCGATTCTTGTGGAAATCTATTTGACGCTGCCCTCTCCAGGGACGATGGAGAGCCCACAAAGTGTAGGGACGGGGAGAGACGCGGTGATACGATCTTTGGTACCCCATTTCGCCACATATCTGTATTGTGCGCATTATTTGACATCAACTGCGATTTACTTGGCAGAGGTTTCACATGAGAATCATGGTAATAGTTTTCTCCACAGGAGCTTTTAGACCCAGAGTCAACCATCTTTCTACGATTCTTAGTTTCCTTGAGCTTTGCCGCCCTGTTGGCTTCTCTATGTGAAGTCGGAGCATCTTCAAACTGTTGTATCGGTCCAACTCGCGTCAGTGGTGGAGTACAGCATGCATTACCACTAGATCTCAAACCCTGTTGGCCTGCCGGCACAGAAACAAAGTTGTCCTGGAGTCCATCTGTCTTCATTTTCCTTTTGCTATCATTGGAGAGTAAGTTTTCCTGCGGTGGAAGGGTGGCAAGGGAATCATTATGGTAATTATGAATTTCCTGCCGGTTTAACAAACTCTCCTGATTTTGAATCAAGAATAAAATTTCCTGATGACGTCGCAAATCCTTTACACGACGTCTCAGTGCCGCACGCTCCTCACGATTACCCCCTTTACTCTCCTTAAGTCTCCTAAATTCAAGGATTAGTTCGTTAGTGCGATGGATATCATTCAAGAGTGCCTGGGAAGAAGCTACCGCAGCCTTGTCAATAGGTTGTCGCGGTGAAAAATCGTGCGATGCATAAGTAACGGTATTCTGGCCTTTCTCTGTCCTTAAGTCAGAACTAAACCCCTTGCCCACTCCCCTAGTTCTAACACTAGCGTCTAAATTCAGATTCTTTGATTGATACTGGGAATCCTTGATGTTTCTATGGCTAGGGCGAACCAAGGAGTAGTCTGATTTGTCCCCAGATACCTTAGAAGGATGGGAATAAGCTAACTCATCCCGTTGCACAACTGCAGATGGGCCAATACTCTTAACCTTTTTAGCTAGATGGTGCATATGCATGCGTATCAAGGTCCAAAAACTACAAATTTGGAGTGAAAACCTATAGAAGAGAATATTTGCAATATGTTATTAATAGAATATCGACATAGACTAATGGCAATTTGCTTCAATTGTGTCCTTTATAATTTCTATTGCTTTATATTGACGTTCTACCTTGAAAGGAATAAACTTAATGTATCTCCTTTTAAAAATTATGTAAAGCAAATAACGAAAATAAGTGAATCAATAATATACGCAAGTAAATGTTTATTATTTTGATTTTATATTCAGTCAAGCTAGAAACGATTCCTTTTCCCCTCGTCTTATGAATCTTATATCTTCACTATTGGATTCATTACTAAGATATATATTTTACGCAAAATAAAGGAAGGTGCATCTCCTATTAATCATATCCCTCATAAAAAAAAGACATTCCTATGTCCGAATGTGGTATTACCTACGCAGTCTACAAAAAAATTCTAGTCAATCGGTACCGATATAACATTACTCAATGCATAAATTATGTCTTGCACTAAATCCTCTAAAGACTTCATGAGTAATTCTGAATGTCTTCATTAAAACAACTAAACACAATGTCAGAATTAAACCCAACTGATTCAAGGGACTCCCTCTTTTGCTAGTGCGCCTATATGAAAATATACGGTCTTCCTTCAGAATACAAAAATCCGTTTCTCTTGCATTCTCATCACTCCCTTCCTACACTTGCTATTTTATTCGAACAACTTTAGTACACCTTTTCGTCCCCCCCGCACGAAGAGCTCATCCCACACTTCCGGTAGCTTCTCTAATGACTCAGCGGTTAAAACAGGGTATTCAAACTTTTCCAATGCTAACGCGCGGAGAACGAAGTCTAGCTGTGTCTGGCGTTCTTGATAACTAAGTGAATCTAAGTAGGTGGGAAGAAAAAATCCCTGCATTGTTATCTCTCTTGAAATAAAACTAGACCCAGAAAGCATCAAACCAAAGCTATTTTGTGCACCGTATGTCACAACCTCACCTCCGGGAGCTACGAGCCTCATAAAGTAGTCAAAGAAGCGTCCACCAACACCATTGAGATACAAAGCAGCCCCCCGTCCGTTTCCAAGGACTTTTTCCATCTCGCGCGCTCCTTTCGCATTATACTCGAACACCTCTGACCCGAATGCCGCATGTCGTCCCTTTGCGTCAGCAAAACGCTCAGAGGGGGAGGCCGCTGTGAGCACTTTTAAGCCCTGTGTCCTGGCCAGGGCGGAAACCGCCAAAGAAGTCACGCTGCTGCCACCATTTTGGATCACTACTTGGTCTTTCCGTAAGCGCGCGTAGCCCTCAAGAAGGTGCTGTGCGGCTAAGTAGTTCGAGGCATTCACGGCTAACGAGGCGTATGCGGGATCTATCCTGTGTAAGCAGGTAGGAGGTACAGCAATAGCATTCGCCCAAGTACCGTGTAGCGGAGCAACCCATACCATATCACCAACTTTCACGAGTGAATCCGTACACTTCTTTGAAATCCATGTCACCTTACCAACACCTTCGCAACCTGCAACGCGGGGAAAATGATTTATATTAACACGCTTCCGACCCAGGGCAGTTCCATTGATGATAGCCGCATCCACGCGGTGAAGTGGTGCAGACATAATCTGAACAACAGCCTCATTCTCGGTGGGTCGCAGCTCATAGTTCTCAATTTTAAGAACCGAACTAAGCGGGCCACTACGGGCATAGCGCCAGCCAGTCGCTGCTATTTTTGCCATTATTTTTAATATAAAAACCTAGCAAAAAATATTTTCTATAAGTAGAATAAAAAGATTGATAGTTATCCGACACACTCATATAGAGGGATATACTGTTTAGCTAATGTAGTGTATGCGAATAGTAAATTCCAGGGATAGAAAAGAATAAAGGGGAATAAATACAGAGATCCCCATATAGGTAGGAATCAACGAAAAACAGGTGGAATCAATAAATTTGTTAGCAGATTCAAAAAGATTTTGTTATATACCTGTATATCCTCTTTTCATCATAAAAGTCAATGAAAACAAAATGCCTCCATTTGCGTAAAATTCAAAAATATAACTCTCCAATTATGAAAAACACACAAAAAGCTCATTTTGGAATACGATAAAAAGAATTCCTTGGTCAATGCCTGTTTTAGTGTTTGACTCTATGTATCCTAAATTCATCAAATGAATCATTAAAACACTTGTCGACGTTGTTCCCTCCTACATACTAATTTTTTTAAGTCCAAAGAGCCCAGACGATAAAGATTCGTTTTCTCAACGTCAACTTGACGCCTTAGCCTCGACAAGCTCCTTTTTATGGCTAAAAATAGAAAGAATTTAATGAAGCATAGCATCCCGGAGGAATGCCAAGTTTCTTTCAATAATGATATTGATTCCGCTACGAGGACATAATTACTCATCCTTTATTCCGCACTAGCATGCAAACAGTAGAAACAACATGAAACTAAGACGAATCGTAAAATATGTGAGGGCAACGACTTGCAACTCCCCCTTGTTACACCGCCCGTTTGCAGGAGTAGAGCAGATTTTTAAGTGCCTTCACCTCCTTCTCGTTCTTGATCGCATTCATCTTGGACTGGTAGTGCTGCAGGAATAAATGTGTGTGCTGCTTCAGCATCTCCTCCACTTCGGCGTTCAGCACGGGATGGTTCAGTGTAAAGAACCGGATCACATAGTTTAGTTGGTGCACATACATATAGAAAAACTTGTTGGTTGCAGTACCGTACATGATGCTGAGGTCTTTGGTCACAAGTAGGTACTCGTAGAATTTGACATAGTTCACCTTTACATCGTCAAGGTAACCGTTCAAGCATGCATATAACGACACTAAGGCATTCATGAAGTACGAAGGGTTTTTCTGATTGAAAAGCGCAATAAAGCGCGCTCCTCGGATCATGGGCACTGTTTGGACTTGGCTCCCGCCGACAGAGTCGGCTGCAAGTTTGCGATACTCTGCCAAGATACCTTTTAACTTGCCAGCTACAGCCTTCATCGCAACATTCTGGGCCGATGAGCCAACACGAGATACCGAAAGGCCAATGTTCACAGCCGGACGCTGGCCACCCGTAAACAGCTTTGTGTCGAGGTAAATTTGACCATCTGTGATGGAAATGACGTTGGTTACAATGTAAGCTGTCACGTCGTTGGACAGCGTCTCCACGATGGGCAACGCAGTAACGGAGCCTCCACCCTTGCCCGGCGAAAGCATAGCAGCGCGCTCCAGCAGCCGAGAGTGAAGATAGAAGACATCACCTGGGTACGCTTCGCGGCCAGGCGGGCGGCGCAGTAGCAGCGATATCTGACGGTACGCAACAGCCTGCTTCGATAGATCGTCATATACGCACAGGCAGTGACGGCCACGGTTCATGAAATATTCGCCCATGGTCACGCCTGAGTAGGGCGCCAAGTACTGCAGCCCGGCCGGTTCGGCCGCGGTAGCGGCCATAACGGTGGTGTAACGCAGTGCTCCATATGACCGAAGCAGACGGTGAATGCGCGCGACGTTGGAACAGCGCTGACCGATGGACACGTAGATGGAAATAACAGCATTCTTTGACAGAATCTGCTGATTCCCACGCACTTGATTGATAATTGTCGACACCGCGATGGACGTCTTCCCCGTCTGGCGATCGCCCACAATTAGTTCACGCTGACCGCGGCCGATGGGAATCATCGTGTCGACAGCCTTAAAACCAGTCAAGAGGTTATAGTTTACAGGAGAGCGCGAAACAATGTTGGGTGCACCAGCATCGACCTTACCTACCATCTGCTCCTCTAAGAGCAGTGCACGGCTGCGTGTAAACAATCCTACCGGCACCTCGTGGCCTAGTGGATTTACAACCTTGCCCAACACCCCCGCACCGACGGGAATGCTCAGCAGCTTGCCCGTGGCCATCACCTTCTGTCCGGATTGCACATCAGTGATATTGTCCATCAGAATGACACCAATGCGGCCGTCCTTCTCCAAGTTGAAAACAAGTCCAGCGGCAAAAGTTGTGGGACTGACCTGGATCATGATAATCGTGTTGTAAGCGACACCGGGGTTTCCTGGAGCAGGAACCAGGGTGGCAATTGTGCCATCGATGGAATGCACGTAGCCAATCATCTCAGTCGCCTTGAAGAAAGACTTATGTCCAGGGGCGGCAGTGGGCATCTTCGTCGCACACGAAGCAGCACCTGCCACTGACGACGCAAGACGTGCGACGGCAGGGATCGAGTACCTCTGGAAGAAACGACGCATTATATGATACGATATATTTGCTTTATAAATTCTGATAGCTGACGACTACTATATTTTTTTCAGAACGCTGATTCAGTGCGTCTATTTGTGAATTAAAAAATGAGTATTTACATTGTTAAATGTGCATTATGGATACAAAACCCATTCAGGATAAACAGTTACAGATAAGCTTTATCAACTCAGGAACATAATCATAATTCTACAGATGAGCTATAAACAAAAGAGATGAAAGAGAAACATTTCTACCATATCAAAATATATTTTCTACTTTTGTCCTAATCTGTTTTCCACTTTAGTAAATCATATTCGACTGCGTGCAAGATGATCTAAGAATGCTTAGTTTGTGTCTCTCAACAAAAATTTCAATGTGCTTATTGATTCTTCAGAGAGTTGATTGATACGGTTAATATGCCAACTATTTATTATCTCCTCAACAAAAGGGGAACCTGGTTCAAGAAGCGGAAAAATAGAACAACGCCCCAACATGACAAAGCTAATAAAGATCATGAGACAATTTGTCGCAAAACGAGCAATAGAAATAAAATCTTTGCAGCTGACTCCAGAAAGGGGGTAATCCCCTGATACGAGACTCCTGCATTCAGCTGTGAGTTTCTTAAAACGATATGGAATTATGCGGATTTGCCAAGAAATATATTCATACCAAACGTCTCTGCACACATCCCTACCACTAGCCTCGTAGGCAATAATGTGTCGCTTAAGTGCCTCATCCATTTTAGCTACGTTGCGCGCGCACATCGACACGGGCACAATTATCGGTTTCGCTAGTGAGACAAATAGTTTACTCATCTCTCCTTCTACGATATTCTTCGTATTCTGTTGAAATATTATACCTTATTATTTTAGGTGATACCTTAAAGCAGTAAGGCTGATTTGATTGCGGGAATGAAAGGAAATGAATTTAATCCTAAGCAAAGATATGTTTCTATACATCAACACTTCGCTAAAACAAAACTCCAACTTTCCATAACGTAACTATATGAACAACAATACATGCATATGTATGTAACAAGAGAAGAGTAAGGCACATATACATAAGACTCCATGAAGATTGTTCATTTCTCCCCTTATTTGTAAAATAACAATATTATTATATTTTTTATTTTTTCTCATAAATATCTTTATAAAAATAATCAAGAAAACGCTCTGTATTTTTAATATTTTTTCTTAACTTACGTACACTTCAAAATTTGTAAAACAGTTGCTAAATAAAAGCTCAAAAAAAAAAACTACTCCCTAAATACGAAACTTTTTTTCACTCAAAAAATTAAAGAATTACAAGTATTCGGAAAAAAAATTATACAAGGCCCGTTCATAATTATTACTTGTATTGGCTTGATTGACTAGGAAAAACATTTTACCACTTATTCTGAAAATAAAACGCGAATCAAAAATCAACCACTACATATATATTAATTCATATCTACCTACATATATATATGTCCTAAATAAAAACCGATTCAAGCTTTTTTGCGAGGGCTCAGAAACTATTGTCATTTGCCGACAAAGAATCCAATTTTATTAAATAGTAAAAAAGTTATCCTTAGCAAAAATGAATAATTGCTCACCTATACTAGGAATGTATAATAGTTGAAAAAAATGCGAAACAGCTTCTTTTACTCCAATTCATTTCAATTTTGCTAGAAACAATGGAAAGCTGTGTGTGCTAACATAGATAGACATTTTGCGTCTTACTTAGTTGCAAAGAATGAAATTAAAAAGTAAAACCCACATTCGCTTGTTTGTACACTACTTCCTTCCTTTTTAACATTTTCCAACCTCGCTTTAGCATAAACAGTTGATCGGACGCTCTTTAATTAACTTTAGCAACTTATATGTCTTTATTTTTTAGTAATATTGAGTTTTCTCACCTGTTCATCAACAAAAAGGTAAAATTTGACACAAAAAGACCAAAAAAGGTTTCGAAAAGCTAACACCACATTCAAGGTAACTTCCAGTAAGGGATGATCAGAGATGAAAGATCACCCTAAAAACTAAAGGAGCGTATTTAAATACAGTGAAAGGGAAAGGTGACAAGAAATATAATTAAAGGCTGCGACAATTAAAATATAATGTAACAGTAGAAAAGTGACCAACTATTCTGTATGAACGCCTTTCCCTCAGAACGAATGGCTGCGCATGTATTTCTGTTTTTCATCTGCACCCCAAATCGTTGGTTAACCCTTTTTTTTAGGAATTTAGTACTCATTATTATTATTAGGCCCATGTAGAGATCCAATTCTCCCCTTCTTAGTTACAATGAACAGAATGGCATCCCGCACTTTTTATGGCGCGACATTGAAAAAAAGCACAAAGTGGGAGGGACCATCATACAGCAGCCCATAAAAATAAAACTTGCCGTAGAGCTTTTAGTCAAAAGAACAAGGTTGGCCACAACTAGTGGCGAACAAAATCCCCCAATACACCCCCCCAGAAAGATAGTGGACATGAAGAATCCCAAGTTTGGTCCGTAAAATTGCTTCACAATGAAACATGGCATCAACGTAAAGACACCTGCTGTGCAAAAACCCAAAACAGACATGCTCAGAGCGAAGAGTGCATACGTTCGGAAAAAGGCTGTAATTATGCACATGATGCTACCCAGAATACAGCACGTAATGTAAGCAAAGGGCTCAGAGGTAACACCAGCTATGGTCCCAACAAAAAGGCAGCTGAAAACCTGGAAAGCACCCCAAAATGTGAACAAAGCTGAAGCTTTTGAGTCTGGTATTTTTGTTGCGTTCTCATAAGGTGTTCCTTTTTTTCCCATCGAAGAAAAATACGGAAAGGCATGGCTAAGCAAACCAAAAAAGGTCCATGCGAAAAAAAAGTACATGAAAAAATTGGTGAGGAAATCCCTTGTGAAAAATACTCGCAGATTTTCAACGATGGATAGTGGTCGAGTGTGCATAGCATGCATGAGATCCTTGTGATCTGAAGAAGAGTCGTCATTATTATCGTTAGCTTTTGAGGACTGTACCATCTCATGCTGCTCGAGCTCCCCCTTTGTCGAACCACCGATGACGTGAATTGAAGTGTTGTTGTGCATATTTGAAGCGCAATCTCCAGTAAAATGGGCATGAATTGACTCTCCCCTCTCAGTAGAATTGTTCTCAGCCTGATCTCCATGTAGTGTCGTCTCCGATTGCACTTGTGTATTGACTGCTAGTGAGAAGTGCCTTTCGCAAGTGGGCATCGTGCTTCTTTCCTCCGAACTCAAGGCTCCCTTGTCAATTGCATCATTTTGCTCCTCTTTATCATTTTCAATTGGTTCAGCACGCCTGCAGGAAAAGACTGATGCCAAAACTCCGATAAGACAAAAGATAGACGTGTAGCGAAAAGCCCTGCGCCAGCCATAACGTTCCACCAAGATACCTAGAACAGGCTGGATGATAAAGTTACCAAGACCGCCACCACAGGAGTTAATACCCTGAGCAATGCTCAGGCGCTTGTTAAACCATGTACCAGTTGCAGTTGCACATGGAGAGATCATAAAACCACAAGAAATGGAAGCCAACAGACAGTAGCCAAAGATTACTCCTTCTCGGGTTTTAGCAACGGACCCGATCCATAAGCCAACGAAAAGAAACAATGTTGAAGTAAGCAACATTGCCCGAGAAGGTAAGCGGTCCACCAAAAATCCAGCTAAAACGCCGAAGATAGGAGCAAGTCCTGCGGCAACAGAGTTTCCATAGGCCAATTGTCCAGCGTCCGGATAATGTAGCTCTGGATCAGTTTTCATATTTTCGGAAAAGATGCTAAAGCCGTTGGTGATACCATAGCACATCAATTCCATAAGGGCACCAGAAATGGCAACCGTATACCCGAGAGGATGGTCCAACGGCTTGCGCGTAATACTGAAATATCCATCCAAAACCATTGATACTTTGTACTGTAGCGGGATTGGATAGTATTTGCTTAGAAAAGTAAAAATACGATTTTTTAAAAACAGAGAGTCTTAAGTTTGCAGAAAATAGTAAAACTTTGAGCTGTGAAGAAAGGAACTTAAAGGAGAAAAATAAGGGAAATGTTTTTTCAGAAATCATAAAATAGCTTCATATAATTTTCATTCAAAATGTCGAAGAATTACAGATTCAGAGTCAAAATGCATACGGTGGAGAGGTAACAATCGTAACGGAAAAAAAGATGAGCATGCTATGATTTAAGTCTTTTTAGTATATTTCTAAATGGCACAATCACGCAAGGAAATAATTCAATTTAGAAATATTCGCATTCACAGAGAGTTCTTTACTTCACCTCAAGACTTTGCCGTCCCGATGGCTCGCAGTCGTATTAAGATTCATTAATAATGGCCTCAGTTAATTCTCTCAGCAAGTCTCCAAAATCTAACACGATCATGCAATTTAGAATCCTAACGGAATATAAGTATCCTATTCGAATTCATGAACACGAGCAGGAACTTGCTTCAGAAACTATTATATAGAAAGCCACACAAACAAAAATAGCTTTTTGATTTTCTACGTTGAAACATGTTCATCAATCCATTACACAAAACTCACCCAATTGAACCCAATCCATATTAATTAAATATGCATATGTAAGTAGCTTTAGTCTATGAAACTCTGAGATCTTTTCTTAGAAAGGGGGGAAAAATTAGCACTCAAAAATCAACACTTCACTTGAAGAATATGAAGATATAAAAATTTTCTGAAAGAAGGGCCAGAAACTCTTTAATAATTGCCCGATTGATATTAGAAAGATATCGCCATTTTATTCAATTTAGCCGAGCAATTATTAACTACAAATTTCACTTTTATGCATTTGCAGCTTTGAGAAACCTATCCCACAATGCATCATCGTCTGCATCTAATACTTCCCTCACATTGTCTTCATCTGATATCCTTTCGGCTTTTCGACGCTCCTGCCTTTTAGCTCGTTTCTTCTGCTCCTCTTTTTCATTCACATAAGTCACAACAGTTGTTTCGGGATTGAGAATCACATTTTTTGTTTCAAGTTTTCTTTTCTTCGAGGTCGAATCTCTTGGTTCATTGATTCTCTCAACAGAATCAGAACCTTCCGGTTCTGCGTGAGTAATGGTATGTTCTGAAATATTAAACGTACTATAATGCTCAATCTGCTTCATTTGCTTGTCATGTGGCTGTTCTAGAGTGTCACGGTAGTCTTTATTTGACTCAAATGGTGGCGCACTGAACCACGGCAATCTTCCCCTTTGCCAATCATAAAGTACCATGCGTGCAGCAGCCTCTATATCAGGTAAACCTCCACTGACAAGCTTTCCTCGAAGCTTAGCTAGTTGTTCGAGAAAATCATTTGTATCGCGCCATTCATTCACTTGGTAAGTTGAGACAATATCCTTTGGTTTAACAATCTGTAATATCGTGTCGATTATTTCTGTTTTATCAGCATTGCCGAGACGCTCTACTCGCACTACGCTTTTTAGTACAGCTTGGACTTCGTTGTTCGATTCTCTATCGTAAATTACACCAGGAGAATCAATGAGAAAAATCGATCGTGTGAGTGCAACATATTGCCATACTTTAGTTTCGCCAGGGATCGGAGCTACCTTGCACACAGACTTGCGCCGAAGTGTATTAATTAGAGAACTTTTGCCAACGTTAGGATACCCAATAATCCCAACAGAAATCGGAATCTTCGTCCGTTTGCTTCCCCTGTGAGTAGTGTTGTGAAGTTTCGAAAACTGCCTTAATAAAGAGATTATGTTCCCCTTTCCAAATGGATGATTTATACTCGCGTGAAAAGCAATAGTCGGGTAATTTTTGCTCAAAATTTGGAGCCACCGAGCTGTTGCCCAAAGAGGTATTAAGTCGCATTTGTTGAGCACCAACACAAAATGTTTGTATTTTTTTTCACGCCTCATGTAGTCTTCCAGAAACGCACTCCTGGTTCCAAGGGGATCCCTCGCATCGAGGACATACAAAACTACATCTGAGCTATCTATGACCTTGTAAAGCTCAGACCATATGCGGTTCGACTGTCCTTTCGTTAACACTATTCCATTTTTAGATTTATCGATCCTAACCTCATCGGTATTTTTCTCACGATTCCTATCAATTTCTTGCTTTCCCGAAATGTACAACTCTCCTTTAGCTGATGCTTCAGATGCAAATGTTTCCATGTCAGCCGAACTAATTCGAGCTCGCTTTCGAACTGCCTTATCACCAAATGTTTTTTCCCACTGCATTTCCTGCCTAATTGAGCCTTCTTCATTTTTCGGTACTTCAAGCAAACTTAGAGGCAGCTTGGATTGCTTTATTATCACACTATAGGGATCCTTATACTTTGCTTGCATTACCTCACGAAACTTTTGAAGGGCATCCTGCCCAATGGTTCGTGTATTTCCAAACCAACGCCGATCCGGAGCCACTCGTGCCATCTGAGATTCAACACGATCAGATGCTTTAAGGACACTACCTTTTATAATATTACCTTTTTCATCACGCTTTATTTTCGACTTATACATTTTTAAACGTTTGATAGTTCGCTGGTCACGAAGATTTGTTCTTGTGGGATCAGTGCGCCTGTTGGGATTAGTAGGTGGCAACATCCCCTTTCCAGCTTTCTTACCTGGTTTACCCATTGTTAAAAGCTAAAAAAAATTAGTGTTATATTTAAATATAAAAAAGTACTTTACCTATCATATAAAGGAAGAAAAATCAAAATGGATCAGACTCGAAAGGGGCAATCTATTGTTAGAAATCATTCATAAGCAGATGCGCAGAAAGAAAAAAATGAGTAATAAATACAAAAATTCTCAGTACTTAGAAACAAGCATTAAATATTTCCTTAATTAATTTCTTTTCCTTTAAAAAAAAAATGAATAGCACAGTAAAATAACCTGTAATATTGTATCTATTGCTTTGCTTTGAATCCTTGTTACAGATCAACATCCTTTTACCGACTTTTCACCCTTGGTAATATATCACGAAGGTGTAATTAAATCCTGAAACCAGGGATAAGTGTCGGAAACATTATTAAGGAGCTCGTCTGTTATTTCGACATCCTTTTCAATTCCCATAACTTCGTTAACAATAGTGGATTCATCTTCACTGCGAATCTTGCAGCTAAGAGCAGCTTCCATTAGATCCAACAAACCTTTTATATTATATTCTTCTGCAGCATTCATTGTAATAAGAAAATATTTGTAATTCTTCGATGTCCACAGTCTACGATTGAAAAAATCAAAATCCCAATCATCTGTAAGAACACAGGAAAATTCGCGGTAAATACAAGGCCGGGCAATTTTGCTGTTTGCAAACCCGTCTAGACCATACTTAGCCGTCCATCGGACAAGGTTTTCGAGCACTGGAGCAGGGTACTTAAATGAGAATATGCCACTTTCATTTGTAGAAGGAGTGATGAATGGACATTGTTTTGCCTGCTCGATCAAAACCTCAACATACTTCTCATCACTACATTGAACAATATGATACTTTGTTTTATCCACTTTAAAATCGCCATTAAGCCCTCTCAAGACAACACGAGTATCTGATGGAAATCTATCCTCAGGGCTTACCATTGTTACAGTGAAAAAAATGTTAATTTTACTAACTCTTTAAAGCTAAGTAATGAATAGTTTAAAAGAAGAAAAATGAAAGAAGTTTGATTCAGAAAAAATTAGCCGTGCAAACAAGCGTCAATAAATTTACTAATTTTAAAAGAAAATACCCCAGGAGGGTTATTGATGCCATAATAAATAATAAAAAAATAATAATAAACGAACACTAAGGTAATAAAAATCAGCTAAATGAGGGAACAATAAAAAAAAAAGAGAAAAACAGTACGCAAATCTATTCTCACATGAAGAATACCAATAGTAGCAAAAATAATATAATAAAGACAATAAGGGAACATAACCGAGGCAAAGAAAAAAAGAAAAAAGATAAACCAAACAGAAAACATAGAAAACAGATTGAAAAGCAAAGAAATAACAAAAAAAACAAAGGAAAAAGATCCAAAAAAAAAACTTCCTTTTTCGTTAAAGAGAAGAGGGGGTGGATATTGCGTGGGTTCCGCTCTGGAAGTGGGAAGGTACAAAAATTGCAATTCAATAAAAACAAACGGAATATATATTTATCTACACCAATAGTTGGGGATGCAGCTGCACTGCTCTTATCTATATTTCTCACCCTCATTGCTCCAATTCCATATTTCTAACGATGAGACCCAACGGTTAACAATATATTTTCTAGAAAATCTGTCTTCCCATTTCCACATATTTTGGTTTGAGAAACCTGAAATGTGATACTTGTAAAATGTCTACGCAGCCCCGCGATGCCGACTAAACCACGCATGCCACGCCCACCATCTCTGAAGTTTCCCAATCACTAAGTCGGAATAGTGCTTTATAACTTTTTGTTAGAGCGTTGCCTAAAGCCAACGTGGTCGTGGCGACAAATGGGTGCGTGATATCGCCAACTACGATC